AAAAAAAAAAAAGAAAAAAAAAGTGGACGACAACGACCATAGCAAAAACATCGACGACTAAAGTTATAATTTGCAGGCAGGAATAGCAAAATGCTGCTGGTGATTAAATAGATAATGTGAAGTGTGATGCTGCGGAAATGTTTTTGAAGCAACTGAAACCCGCCCTAAATGAGCAGCGATATATGTTGGTACTGCTGGATAGACAATACAACCAAAAAGACTTTTCCTTCTCCTTCTTCTTCTTCTTCTTCTTCATTCAATTCTGGCTTCTGCTTGGTTGCTGCATACCAATTTCGGACCAGAATTGACCACAGTGCCTATTTTGAGTACCAAAAGAAAAAGAGAAGGAAAAAAAAGGAAGAATTTGGTTTTTTCATCGACATAATTGACTGCAACTAAACTATCATTTTTACTACAACGGATTGATACAACAAAAAAAGAAAAAAAAAAAGAAAGAAAAAAAATTAAAAAGGTTAAAGAAAATTTGGAGACAGAAATACAGCTGCGTAAATTTGCCTGCTACCTGTAAACTTAATCATTGTTTTATTCAAATTATTGGTTTATTTTTGAAAAACTATCCTCAGTTCTATCAATACGGCTTGTTTTAACAGAAGTTGTTTTCACTGAGGGTTGCTTCAACCACTTTTGCTTCAGTTTCCTCTCTTCACTTCCCATTCTTTTCACCGTTCTTTTCTATGAGTACTCCAGTATTTTTTCCCCTGTTGTTCTGAAACTTTGGAACAGAAAAAGAAAGAGAAAAACGAAAGGAATAAGTGAGCAAGACGAGAAAAATTATTGGATGCTGTGCCGTTGTTACTCACTGTGTATGTTCTGCTGTTATTACAAGATTCAACTTATGCAAGTTGAATACATTGTATTTATTGTGCTAATTTTAACAATTGATTCGCATGCTGTTATTGCCATAAAACAAGTCAAAGTTGACGGTGATATTTTGATCGGTGGATTATTCCCAGTTCATGAAGCTGGTCGTCATGGAGAAGAATGTGGAGTTTTGAAACCAGATCAAGGCGTACAACGACTACAAGCCATGTTGTTTGCTCTACAAGAAGTAAATAATAATCGAAAAATTTTGCCAAATATTCGCCTTGGCGCTCAAATCCTTGATACATGGTAAGTGCTTACTGATCATTTGACTTTGACTTTGAAGGGGCTTGTCAGTAGCTAGTTTAGACAGTCTTACTATAGTTAGAACTGCATTTATTCATGTGCTCCTGTGATAGACTTGCAGTAATCATCAATATTCCACATTCTTTTATAGAAGTTTTATCTGAACTCGTTTAGTTGGTATCATACGTTTAACAATTTCAAATTGACATTTTTAAAGAAAAAATTTTAACCGAGCAGTTTTGAAACTATCTGTTTTTTTTCCGTTTTAAATTTTTGTACGTTTTTGAACTTGTTAAAAACTGAGTTTTTTTAAGCATTTATTATTTACTTAGCAGAACCACTCATATCCTTACATAATTTGCTTGTTTTGTATAGTCTTTGCAAAAAAACAAAAATAAATTGTCAATGTTTAATAAATAAATATACGCAAAATTGTTGACTCAAAGCTCTTCTTTTTTCATTTTTTAAAACTGTTTTCAAAGAGAAAAACCTGGTAACAATTTCGAGCAAAAAAAAAAAAGAGCTTATAAAAGTATTCGGCAGTCAGTATTGTTTTATAAAAGTTTAATTTTCCACATTTTTTTTAAAATTTTTATTTACACTGGACTGCAGCATTATGTAAACTGAACTGTTGTTAAAACAATATTTGTTAAACATATGTTAAATAGTCATTGGGCTTTTCTGAACGACTACTAGATAGGTACTAAACAAAAAAAGTAGTTTGAATTATAACTTCAACAAGTGCTTAACGAAAAAATTAATAAAAAAATTTAGAAAAAAAAAACAGTAGTTGGTACTTTTATGAAAACACCAAGTAAGAACAATTCTGAACAAAGATAACTCAAATTTCAAAAAATTTTGTTGAAATTTACTAGTTTTTTCTATTCGTTTCATTGCTTACTCAATTGTTTCTCCTGTCTTTAACAAAAGTTTAACATTTTTTCTTCTGGTAAAAGTTCTGTCGCTAGTTACATCTGAAAAGTAAAGGCAGTAGAAATCAATGTTCAGACTAACTGATGCAGTTTTTACTGAAACTTCTAGTTCTGATGATTCGCACGCGTTGAAGCAAACCTTCGTGTTTATCAAAGCTATGCTCACATCAGGCGATGAAATTGTTTGTCCGGACGGCGGACGACCCATAATGGGAAACCAGTCAGTAGCACTGGTAATTGGAGCTGCAAGTAGTCAAGTGTCTGTTATGGTTGCATCGATGCTGCAGCTTCTAAAGGTATTTTTTATCCAGCTTATTATGAGCAGTGAAATTCAGTTAAAATACCTGGAAATGGTTCAAATTCGTCAGACTCACCACGTTGCTCCACTTGTGAAATTTTTGTCAACGCTTCCTCGATTCGTTGCTAGTAGCTCGTATCTTGCCTAAGAGTTAAAGTTTCTCAGGCAAATTACTCAATTTGTAAACCAAAAAATGCAAATAAATCTTTCAGCACATTTATCTTTGAGTTGAATAAAATCATCCTATTCGAGTATGCCTGTGAAAATTTCCTCATTTTCTGTTTCTCTAAGCCGATGTGTATATCAAGAGCAATAACAGGAACAAGGAACATAAAGTTTAGATGATAAAAAAAAATGACAAATGGTAACTGCTGGAAAATTTAAAATTGATTTTTTTGTTTTGGAAATTTAACACTTCCTTTTTTCATCATTGTCATCAATATTTAATACCAAACGTGTATCTGCAAGAAACAAAAGACGGACTTTGTTGTGATCAATAATTTAGGTTATGTAATTTGAACGTCGTGTGCTTTCATGCAAAAATGTCATTTCACCTTTGCGATTTTAATGCTTCTGAATTTTAAATATAAATTATGGAAAGGCATCTGAAGAAAAAGGATATTCATATGCTCAATACAGAGAACAGAGGACAGTTTAAGTAAAATAAGAGTTTACATTGTAACTTTAGGACATGACCATAAAGGTAGTAATTGATCTAAAAGTCTGTTACTGAGTGACTATTAGCTTAAAGCATTATGAATTGGTTAAACAGCGGTGATTCACAAAGAAGGAATTGAAGGTTAACTTCAGCAGATGATTATAATGAATGTATTTTATCTGAGAGCTCCTTATTGGGTTACCATTAACCAAAAGTAACATAAAATAATTGAGCAGTGAAGATTTACGAGGGGTGATCTACATGATCTTTTTTAAACAGTTCCTCGGTCTTCTAAAATTGGTCAAGTTTCTACAAGATGTACCAGCTGAACATTAGAACATCACTTTTTTAGAATTCGCAGCTCTTTTTCTGACAAAAAGATTAATTGCTTAATGTTTTCAAATTCAGCTACTTGTTAGAAAACCCAAATTTCTTCTACCTTTTTTTAATTTGCTAGCAAAAAAAGCAAGAACTAGAAACAGATTGAAGCAGTAAAGTTAGATATTTCAGCATTCAATTTTAGTTAAATAAAAAATCTTCTTCATTTAAGATTCTTAAAAATTCTTTTGAAAGATTCTTAAAAAATTTTTTTAGCATTGACAAACCTCAAGCTGTTTTAGAGCAGAAACATTGAGTACAAGCCAGTCTAAATATAACTGGCTTGAATTTACCTTTATTTTGAAAAAGAAGAAAGCGATATGATTGTCTAATAAAAGCTAATAAGCTTTCTTATATTTACAGGTGCCTCAGGTTAGCTATTCATCCACGGGAGCTGAACTTAGTGAAAAGTCACGGTAAGCCGTTAACAGTGATAGTAGTTTATATGTTTTCAAACACTGTAAGCTGTAAAAATCAAAATTTCTATAAACAAATATTAATGCTAAAAGTTTTCTGAGTAGAACTTTAGTGGTTTTGCATCAGAAATTTTTATTGAGTTTTTAAGCTCTATTGCAAAT